GGTGGGTTCATCCTTCACTTGATGGTCTTAACAGGTGTCCTCCACCTGGCTGTCATTTGAATCAGCTGAGGAACTCAAAAAATAACTGATACTTGTCCCTAGCCCCAGAGATTCCGATTTAATGTTTTAATTTTTGTTTGCTTTATTTTTGTTCATTTGGTAAAGCTCCCTAGATTGTTTCTAATGTTGAAATCCACTGGTCTAGAAAAAGCTTTTCCTGAATAGGGTTAGCGTCCACTTAGGAAGAAGAGTCTTCAGTGATGTGTCCTGAGGCCCTGCTTCACACCCTGACCAGGTGAACCAGAAAATGAAGAAAAGTCTCTAAACATACAAAGCTAGAATGTCAATGGAAAACCAGTATCCTGAATAATTCATAAAACTCAAATATTTCGTATAATTCAAATTCATATAATTCAAAAATGCATAACCAAAAACTGAGCTGAATCCTTAAAACTGCATAGAATTTAACCTACACTTATCGAAATAAAATCCAATATAGAAGTACAGAACAGAGAAAGTAGTTCTAAAGATGGCTCTGATGAAAAATACCTAGGAAATGTTCATTGGCTATAATTCCTATATCCTTGATGTATGTGATGTGTTTACCTACTTTGACTACTCAACCCTTTTCTTAAATGAACCATGGCCTTGGGCTAGTTTAGCTCTCTGAGCTTGAGTTTATTCATATACACCAATCTTTTTGCAGTGCCCCTCAAATTTTAGTGTCCCTATGAACCACCTGAGGCCCCTGTTAATACACAGAATCATATGCAGTAGGTTGGGGGTTTGGGGGAGGCAACCTGAGAGTCTGCATTTCTAATAAGCTCCCAGATGCTGCTGATGATGCTGGTCCACAGACAAATACTTTGAGCAGCAAGGTCTTAGAAGATGTTATGAGAATTAAATTAAGTGACCTACATAAAATGCTTGGCACAGACATGGTTGACAGCCTACAGAAGAAAAGACTTAGGAGTAAAATAATAGAACATGGTGAAAACCTAGAAGTCCCATAATCCAATCTTTTTTTTTCTTTTCCAGATGTGGAAACAAGTTGAGAAAAGTTAAAATAGCTACTTTCTAATAGCCAAAGGTATGTAATGAGAAGAGACATTCTTCCCCCTCCACCCTCCCCAAGAAGAGACATTCTTTTTGACGGCAAAATGTATAAGCAAGATCAATGGGTGGAAGTTAAAGACAGCTTTTCATTCCATATAAGGGAAAACCTTTTAACAATACATGCTGTCCTAAATCAACTGGCCTTCTTTAGGAGAGAGAATGAAGTCTCCAGTTACAAAATATGAACACAGGCCAGTTGATGATGTTAAAGAAGACATGCTTCAGGTCACTGTTAAACTATCTAACAAACACCACACAATAAATACAATAAAAAAATAAGTAAAACAGAAATCTCCTTTCCCTCCCCACTCCAACTCTACCCACCCTGAAATCGTCTTCTGTGAAGTAAATTGAGATGCTTAAGTCAAAAAGCTGGAGTCATCCTTAACTTCTATTCTCTCACTCCCCACATCCATTCCATCAACATATCCCAAAGCTGTACCTTCAAACCGTGTCTGTACTCCCAATTACTCTCACCGCCTCCATTAAAACTACCCTGGTCTAAGCCACTGTCTCCTCTATCTGGATTACTCAATAGCCTCCTAACAAGTTTCTCTGTCTTTGGCCATGATCTTCTGAAGTATTTTCTTAACACAGCAGCCAGTGTATTGCCACTTCTCTGCTCAATCCCTTCTGATGGTTTCACATCCTATTCAGAGTAAAAACCAAAGACCATATATAATAGTTTACAAGTCCCTACATGATCTTCCCCCTCAAGCCCTTGATCAGACTTCTTGTTATTCTCCATCTTTTTCACTCTGCTTCAGATGCCCTTGAACTCACTATTCCTTGAATCACATTAAGGACACTTCTACCTCAGGACCTTTGCACTTGCTCTTCCCTTGGCCATGAAGGCTATTCTCTGAGATTTGCAAGTTTATGTTCCACACTGTCAATACAGGGTGGGGCAAAAGTAGGTTTACAGTTATTTGTATGAAGACTAATACAACAACTAATAAATAATGATACAAGAATAAACTGTTTTTGCATACTCACAACTGTAAACCTACTTTTGCCACACCCTATATATGAAATAACCAAAAGACACCTAACAGAAGCATTCTGATTCCTTTCTACAGAATAAAGTGCCCACACTTAGCTTAAAGATCAGCACTTTCCTTTTCATGGTTGGTACAGATGAAGGACTGGGTGAGGCATTCTAGTTCCAACTGTGACTTAGCTTCTTTGTTTTAAAATCATACTTAATCAAATCCTCTCTTAACACCAAATTAAGGAAGAGCGCTGAAAGAATCGCCCTTCTGATATCCACCAGTCAGTAACCCAGGCTTATCCCACCTCCACTAAAATGAACAAACATCCTAGAATAAAGCCACTCTGCTGTCCTCAGGGAATGACATGTTTTCTCCTTTTAAAACCAAAGCACCTCAGTTGAGATTGAGAAAACCTAGCCACCGCTAGGTAGCCTAGGATGGACAACGGATAGAGAAAGCTGGAGTGTGGCATCCAGGTGGGTTCCTTTATCCAAAAGGAAGTCACAAATGTAGAGACAACTCCCTCTAGGGACTGCTGTCCAGGCTGCTGTGCATGGTGGTTCCGGTCCACACTGCACCACAGCGGAGGCACCATCCACGGTGTTGGTTGTGCAGCTGCTCCAGCCACTCAGCTTTTAGGGCTCAGAAATTCAAGACACTCTTGGCGTGTACCATCAAACAGCTTCGGAGGGATGGAGACAAATGCCTCTGATTTAAGAATTAATGTAGGCAAGAAGAAAGAGGGAAGTGAAGAAAAATTCTGGCCTGAGCTCAAGTGCCCTGGAAGAGGGTGCACTTCAAATGTCAGTTTCAGCCTCAGCTCCTCTCACCTTCCACTCACAGTCCCCTCAACTCCTTCCTCAAAAGCAGGATACATCCTGACACAGACCCACAATCCTGAGGGGCTGCCTCAAAAAGCTGTGGGCCGTAGTTGAAGAAAGCAGAGCAGTGCTTTCAGGAACTCAAAGAGCAGCAAGGCAGACGCTTATCTATGGCTATTTCTCAGGCAAGGAATCGGCTCTGTCTTTTGTAAGGAGCCTTTTCTGTGGTTCTTTCTCCAGGGCTGCCCAGTGCAGGAGCTGAGGGAGACCTAAGAACACGGAATCCAGATTGTGGGTGGAAAAGAACAGAGGCATGAAATCAGCCAAAAAGATGTTAGACATGCAACTCAGCAAGAGACCTCATCCATCTTCTCCCGTACAAAAGCCAAAGAGGACTGCTCATGGGGTAACAATGGGAACCCGTGGCATAGTCACAGGCCAGGAAGTGGGGCATATCTGCGGCACTAACACTTGCTTCAGATGAAGCATGCTAAATAATCTTCTTGTTCCTGCTGCTAAAGGACAGGACTTGCCCCACTCAGGACATCCTCCTGGGCCCCTCGTTCATGAAATGAGGCACACTCATTCATGTCTGTGATCTGTGCAGCACCCCACATTCAGCAACAAGCCACACAAAGTCCGGACATTAAAACTCTGGGGAAATCATTTGGGATCAACAGTATTTCTCCACTTGATTCTCCACTTTGAGTAACACATTACTGATCATCCAGTAAACTTAATTAATGTAACCACAGGCAATGAGGAACAATAATCTTTCTTTTGCAATAGGGAAAAAAAGGCTTTGAGTAGGGAAAATATGTTGTAAACTTTTAACAGATGAGTTCTCCTCACCCTACAGACTCATTTTGAATATACTATTAAGAAAATGCTATTTAAGTCAGGCTCAGTGTGTCTCTCTTCATGAATCAAATAATTCTCTAATTTATCCTTTGGGTAAGTGGATTTTTATATAACAGATTGGTTTAAAATGAGGTAAATTCATGCTGGATAATTTGCACAGCAATAGCTCAATTCCAGTATTTATACACAGGAATATTAGGAGAAAGGCCATTTTTTTCACTCCATCTTTAACAATCCAACCACAACACACTCTTATTTTATTAGTACTTAGGCTGAGAGAGTATTCGAAAAAAATAATTTCTCCAGGTGCGTAGAATCTCAAGTAAATATTTAGAAGCAACGTGTCTTCCAGTAACCGGCAGTGGATGAAAAGTCAGCCTTGGGAGACCCAGGGCCCTTGGGGAAAGCAAATGGCTCCACCAAAACTCGCTCCTCCAACCTTAATTGGTCAAATGCCAAAATAAATGAACTTTCCAAAGTTAGGAGCATCTCAACTTTTACCAGGGATAACTGCAGGTGCACAAGCCTTAACCAGAGAACCCACTGACCCAGGTGTGCCCAGCGGCGGCAGCGGGTCTTGCCAGGCGCCAGGCCCAGGCCGTCTCCAAGCCAAGGGATCCGCAGGGAACGGGTTCAGGCCCGACTGCCCGGGACCCGGGGCTCCCAGCCCTGGGCCCAACGCCGGATCCCGCCCCGCCCTTCTCACCCAGACCAAGGAAGGGAAATGGGCGCTTCTCCTCGAGGATGAGGAGCGCCCAGTGGGATTTAGTTGCAGCACGGGGCCGTTCCCAACTCCCAACTTCCCAGAGTTTTCCTCCGGCCTCGTCCCCCTTCCCAGGGCTCCTACGGCCGTCGCGGCCTCCCCTTGCCCAGAGCGCAGAGCCCGGGAAGTGGGGCGCAGAGCTCTGAGCTCTGGAGCCGCCCCCAGGAGCCCGAGCGTCGGTAGCGCAGGTGGCGGGCGTGGTCCCTCCAACCTTACTCCAGCCCACTCGGACTCGGCCTCCGCTCAGCAGCCTCCACCACGGTCCCCGCCCGGTTCTGGCATCAGGCCCGGGTGCGCTGGTTCCTGATCCCCTCCCCTAGCTCAGTGGCAACCCCTCCCCACCTCTTTCCTCTAGTCCGCGTAGCTCTTCTGCCTCAGGCCCTAGTGCGGCCCCAACTCCCAGCCCAGGGCCCTCCGGTCGCGGCGGGCAGTGACGGCGGCACTCACCTGGGTCGCGGAGCCGGGGTCTGGCGCGGTCCCGCAGGTGGTAGCTGAAATCCTGGCAGCTCTCGTGCTCCAGGGCCCCACGGGCACAGAGCTCGGTCAGTAGCTGCAGCGCCCGGTGACAGAGCGCGTCCCTGGCCCCGGGCATCGCCCCCCCGCATCCTCGGACCGCGCCGGGCAGGCGGGCGCGGGAGACAACCCTCCGCCTGCCAGCTCAGAGCCGCCGCCTCCGGGCCGTCCGCGCTCGCCGCCAGGGGCCCGCCGAGAAACGGCCCGAACCCCAGCCCCAGCCGGCCCGGCCTCCCACCGGTTGCATGCAGCTCCTTGCCAGCCGGTCGGTCGGGCTTTTTCTCTCTCCCTTCCGGCCCCTCCGTCCCTCCCCCGGCACCAGGAGAGGCGGCGCAGCACAGCCCAGCGCGCCCCGCTCCTAGCGCTCCGCCCGCCACTCGCGGCCGCCCGGGGCGGGGCCGGGTCAGGGGTGCGCGCCGCAGGGTAGTATCTCGGGGGTCCCAGCTGGGGCGCCAGCAGGGAACCCGGGGCGCTGGCCGGCTCCTGGAAGAGCGCGGAACTCGGCTCCGGACCTCGCTCTCAGAGCGGTCGCGCCCAGGATTGGAGAGTGTGAGCGGGTGCGCGCGCTCCGGGCGCTCTCGCTACCGCACCCCTCCGACCTGATGCAAACCAACCCCTTCCACCTCCCCTCACCGCAGATGGCCGAAGCACATTTTGGGGTGCGTTGCGGAAAAGGTGCAATCTGGACCACACCCGCCAGATCTGGAGCACAGTGCCGGCTTCAAACTTGAAAAGCGCCGCCTGTCCGTAAACCACGGGCCTAAAGGTGCTAGATGGCCAACTGTGAGGTATGGGGCCAAGATTCGCCATTAAAGGAAAGATTTCCCAAGCGCGGGACCTTGCCCAGCACCCCGGTGATTGGGAGAAGGTGGAGGCTCTCAGATCAGAACTAAGGTCAAGTAAGTGGCACCTGAGAAAGACATTAGGACTTACTTGGAGCTTTGTAGATCCTGGATGGTTTTCTAAGCAACTAGTAAGAAATCCGAGGATTGCCAACCTGTTTGCAGCACACACCAAGGAAGAGTATCACAGAATTTGGGATGTTTGGAAGGGAACACAGGGCACCTCTCATACACCCACCTCTTCAGCCTTTCAGGCAATAAGCCCAGAAATAACTACTGAGTACTGAGCTCTTTTGTTTGTGTGTGCCAGGCACCGTACCACAAGCCTTTTAGATATATAATCTCACTTAATTCCCTTGATACCAACGAGGGCTGTATAACTGTTATTCCCGTTTTACCAATGAAAAACCCGAAACTCACAAAAATGTCACCTGCCCAACTTCATACATAGGGAGGCAAGGTAACCTTGATTTCCTTTTTTCTTTTTCTTTTTACTTAGTAGTGTCCTGGCCCCACTCTAAAACAATTAGAGAAGAATCTCTACAACTGGCATTCTTAGCCATAAGGTTTTATTGTTGCTAGGGACATCCTATAGCAAATCATGTTGTGCAGATAGGTAATTCAGGATGCCATTGAGCGTTCCCCCAACAGACAAGCTTTGAAATCCTGCTGTCGATGGTGGGAACCTGAAGGACCTTCCACTGTAGCACTTCTCAATCCTTCCATCTCATGGCACACAAATGAATTACTAAAATTCTGCAACACACCAAAAAATATATTTTTGCCAATCCGGTTTTTTTAAGAAAAAGGTATAATTTTGATTCATTCATACTGCTTGGCTATTATTGTCTTTGTTGTTGTCATTTGTTAAATTTCACAATTGAAGGGAAAAAAGGTCAGTGCCCCTGACTAAATAGGTATTGAATGTTCTAAAAATTCTTACGGCACACCGGTTAAAAATTGTTGTTCTATTGGAATAGCAGAGAAAATGCAGAGTTGTAAAGGTAAAGATAACTCCAGAAAATTGTAAAAAGGCAAGTAGACTCTTTACTCTTAGAAATTAGGGGGGAGAAGAAACTGCTGAGAGGGAGCCTATGGAGGAGGTAGAGCAGAAGCTGGTCCTTGAAAGGAGAGAAAGACATATGAGGTGGAGGGTGACTCACAGAGAGTGTGGTGCTAGGGTTGACATAACAAAGGAGGGAAGGAACATGTAGAAGTCAAACACTGATGTGACTGTCAAAGAGGAACTGAAAACAACAGAAATTAGTTTGAGCAACAACATGGATGAACCTAAAGGGTATTATGCTAAGTGAAGTAAGTCAGAAAAAGATAAATACCATATAATTTCATTTATATGTGGAATCTAAAAATAAAAGAAAAACAATTGAACAAACAAAACAAAACAAATAGACTCATAGATACAGAGAACAAACTGATGGTTGCCAAAAGGGTGGGTCATGGTGGTGGTAGGGGATTGGTGAACAAGGTGAAGGAGAATAAGAGGTACAAACTTCCAGTTATAAAATAAATAAATCATGGGATATAATGCACATATAGGGAATATCATCAATAACATTGTAATAAATTTGAATGATGACAGATGGTTACTTGACTTATTGTGGTGATCACATTGTAAGGCATATAAAGCTATAGTCATGTTGTATACCTGAAACTAATATATATTGTATGTCAACTATACTTAAATTTTAAAAATGAAGAAAAAATTACTTTGCTAAGTCAGGCAAGATATAAATGAGGGCCTAGATCAGGTTAAAGGCATTGACTGATTTCCAGAAACATCCAAATTTGAAAAAAATTTCAAATGTTAATTGACAAGATTGTGACCAATGGAATGAGAAAGAAGAAAAAACAAGAAAATTTCAAAAACTGACCTGGGTCATATGTGGTTGGTCCTGGATGACACCTTGAATTTAGGAGGGAGGGGGTGTATCAACAAAAGCTCACTGCTACCAATCTAATGCCAACAGGAGTCCCCAACCTGGGTATGGTACAAGGAGAAACTTTATTCAGGTGGACAGTTTGCAAACCAGGAAAACGCAGCCCTGAGGAAACAGAAAGTGCACTCCCCAAAGACAAAGGGAGACCTGCTTCCCTAGAGAAAGTTCTCACCCTGATCCTTGATTCCTCCATTTTTATGCAAATGAGAAATCCAAATTTGCACAGTTTGATTGGCCCAAATAGCCCTGTCTCGATTGGTCAGCATCTTGTGTTTTGATAAGTTGTTATGGATCCTCTCTGATTGGTCAGTATAGATGCAAATAAGGCTATAGCTGCACAGTTTCAACTGGATGGGGCAGGTCTCAGCCCATTGGTTGAAAGATGATTCCAGTAACTCCTTTATAAAATTCACTTAAGATGGCAGGAGCACAGTGTAGGAGGCTTGGAAGTTCAGTTCATGGCTTTTCCCTGAATTACAGTGTGTGTGACAGACCTCTGTCAGCAAAGGCTGCTAGACTCTGGCTATGACTTTGGGCCCAATGGACCATAAGGGGTCCTTCTTGGTAGATACATTCCTTCTCAGGGTTCATAGGGGAAACTGGCTATCATCCACAGAAAGGTAGGGATTGAGTTGCCACATTGGGTAAGTTCCTCCAAGAAAGAAGAGTTGGGAAAATGGGAGAGAACTTTATCAAGTAAAATGTGGCTTAACAAGAAGACTGAACAGCAGCAATCAGAGGAGGCGAAATCAGACAGAGGAGAATTATGGGGGCCAGAGGAGGAGGAGCAGTGGATGGAGGGGTGATCAATAGCATCAACTGTCAATAGAACTCACAGAGAATAAATGTGTCCTTTGGATGTAGCAGATAATAAGACACACAAAATTTAGAGAGAATGGTTACTATGCAACCTACCTTGAGGAAGTTACTTAACATTTTTATACCTAAGGTTTCTCACTAGATACTACCAATAATATGTGTGTTACTGGGTTATTACAAGATTCCATAAAGCATTTAGCAAAGTGCTGCCATATGTCTGTGTAGTTGCTGTTGTGTGTCTGCCGCAATGTGCTAGGCGCTAAACATTCACAACATCCCTAAGCAGTAGATATTATTATTTCCTATTTTACAGGTGAATAAAGTGAAGTCAGCAGTGTAAATGATTTTCCCAAAGACAAATTGGTAGATGGTTTCCAGAAACAGCCACAACTTCCCTCCCATTCCATGTGTCCTTTTGCAGTGTGACTTTACCACTCGCCCCACCAAGAAGTCAAATCTCTTTTCCTTCCCCTTAAATCTGGGCTCGCCCTGCAACTTATGTTAACCAACATAATGTGTGGAAGTGATATTCTGGTGTCAGAATAGTGGTTAGCTAGGACGTGGAGAAAAGCGAACCCTGGTGCACTGTTGGAGGGAATGTAAATTCGTGCAGCCACTGTGGAAAACAGTATGGGGATACCTTAAAAAAATGCTACAGTATAGGTCGCATATGATCCAGCTACCCCACTTCTTGATATATTGGAAGTAAATGAAATCACTATCTCAAAGAAGTATCTGCACCCTATGTTCACTGCAACATTATTCACAATAGCCCAATCAGGAAACAACCTAAGTGTCCATTTACGGACAATAGAAATGTGGTGTGTGTGTGTGTGTGTGTGTGTGTGTGTGTGTGTGTGTATTATACATATACAAGCATAAAAAGGAGGAAACCCTGGTGTTTGCAACAACATGGATGAACATGGAGGGCATTATGCTATGTGAAAGAGTGATATAATCTAGAGAGATAAAAACAAATACGATATAGTATCATATGTAGAATCTAAAAAAAAGAAAAAGCTGAAAGCTGATCTCATAGAAACTGATTGCCGGGAGCTGGGGGTGAGAAAAATGGAGAGCTGTGGGTCAAAAGATGCTTTAAATATTTACAGTTTTGCCAATTATTTCTCAATAAAGCTGGGAAATGGAAAAGTAACAAAAGGAATTCCCCGAGTCGTCCATGCTGCTCTTAGACGTTCTCACTCCTGGCCCAAGACCCAAATCCTGCACTTGGGAAATGGTTTGAGATTCCTAATGGGGGAACATTGTATTATTGTCATTTTGTTTGATTCAGTTTCTTTTTAACAAAAGAAAATAAAATTCAACTGGAATGACTAGTTTTTCGTGAGCCTATGGCATTCCCCAGTGATTAGCACTCAGCTAAAACACTCACACACTTCCTGCTTCATTATCCCAAACAGGTTTTCATCCTCACACTTGATTTAGTGCCTTAAATATAATTCACCTGGACCAGAAGACTATCCTTTTGACAACTCTCTCATCTTGGGCATCAATCTCCTTTTAAATATCTGAGCTTGGCCCTGGCCAGTTTGGCTCGGCGGTTAGAGCATTGGCCCATTGACCAATAAGTAGAGCATTCGATTCTGATCAAGGACATGTGCCTCAGT